AGGAGAGCGGCCTCGGGACACCGGCTGGTCGCCTGGCCGGAGGGTGGGCCCGCGTCAGACCAGGCCCGTGGGGGTGTCTGGCGGAGCACGGCTCCCGCCCCACGCTGCGGGGCACACCGGCGGGTGCAGGGCGGCCCTTCCCGCACCAGAGTACGCAGAGCTGAGCACTCCGCAGGCGTTGGAAGGCCGCGCTAGGGAACGCACGGCCAGGACCGGAAGCACTCCCGCCCTGACCCGACCCGACAGCGGCCGGCGCCGGCGCAGGCTGACAGGCGCCAGCTGATGGGTGCCGAGCGGGGGGCTGCCCTGGGCCACCCACGCCCAGCCCAGGCGAGTGGCCTGACCCGGGACACAGCAGCCGTGACAGCCTCCACGCGGTCGGCAGCTGGGGGCTGGGGCCGCAGCTCAGAGTCGGGGCGGGAGCCCGAGGACAGGATGGCCGCGCACACCCCCGTCTTGGGCCATCACCGGCCACGTGAGCTGGGGCGCCGCCTCCAGAGGCTGCTCACACCCCATCATCTGTCTCCACTGTCTCCACATTATCTGTCCCCACTGGCGGAAGCCGCAGTCGGCTGAGAGGCAGGGGCCCGGCCTCGCTGTGGTCAGGTCGGCTCCGGAAGCCGGTGCCCAAGCAGGCCAGGGAGGCCAGGTCCTGCCCACCAGCTGGGCCACAGCCCGTCCACGCCGCCCCTGGGTGGGACCGTACGTCCTGAGGCTGGCCCGTGCTCCAAGGGGCCACTCTGCCGCCTCTCAGACAGCACTGGTGGGGAGCCGGGGGGGGAGACCCCGGAGGAGCAGAGGGAGGCCCTGCGAGAGCCGGGCTGGCCCCACGCCGGCCTGCCCGCCGCCCCCACCGGCCCGCAGGGAGCAAGCGGCCTGCGGCACGCGCAGGTGCTCCCCTGAGACGCGGCTGTGCATCCTGGGAGCGCAGGACGGCAGGCAGGGCCGGGCGCCCAGAGGGGCTTGCTGCCCGGCAGAGCAGGCCTGCCCCGGGATAAGGGTCACTGCTGCCCAGGAGACGGTCCTGAGGGGGAGGAGCGGGGAGCGGCGCTGCGGCCGGGCGGAGGGGGCGGGAGCGGGCGGCTCAGGTCCACAGACGGCAGCCGCAGCGCGGAGGACAGCAGCGACCGCTGAAGGAAGCCTGTAAAGACGCCCTGGACACAGGCTGGTCGGCGTGGACCGGCGCCAGAACCCCACCCCAAGCAATTGTCCCTGGACTCTGCTCACAGGAACGGGGACTGAGCCCACCCGGGAAGGCCATGGAGGGGCTTGGTCTCCTGCTGAAGGGCGGGAGGCGGCCGGGAGGCCGGGCACCCTGTGGGGACCGGAGCCTGAGGCGGGCGGCCAGGCACACAGGAGCCAGGCCAGGTCCGCGGGGACCGGCGCCGGAGTCCTCCTCAGTCCCCACACGGCATGACCAGAAGCACGGGCCACGCAACACTGATGTCACTTGAGGCCGCGACCCCAGCGCCCTGGGAAACACGAGGGTCACGTCCTCCCAGCACCCTGGCCGCACGGCTGGCTCGACCACCAGGCCTGCCCGCTCCGGCAGGGCGCCCCAGGAGGAAACCTGGGGGCGGGGCGCCCCCTGGTGGCGCAGAGCAGGCCTGCGGACGCCTGGGAGGATGCAGAGGCGTGTCCAGGGCTGGAGCTCAGGCTGCTGCGGCTTCCAGAGAGCTGGGGCTGGCGGACAGCGCCGCCTGCGGTCTCCATCGCCAGTGAGCGCGGTGGGGACTTCCCCCTCAGCGGGCCTGGGCGGCGGACGGCTCACACTGCCGAGCCCGCGGGCACCGCCC